GCAATTTAATTCAGCTGGCTTTAGAGCGTGCGGTCCAAATGGCCCTCTCTGTGCTACAGAATATAACTTTGCAACCAATCATAGAAATCTTGATGTCAGTGCTTTCAATGTAAAGGAAAAATCCGAGCTGCTTCTCGAGCAATATTCTAAAACAGGAACAATATCACCCCATAACACCATTATTGCTCCTCTAGGTGGTCCATACCATTACGAAATGCAGGCAGAATTCGACTTTCAGTTCAATAATTATCAAAAAATTTCCGACTTTGTAGCAGCAAATAAAGAAATTTATAAAGCTAGCATAGAATTCGGAACTACTAAAGATTATTTTGATTATTTAAAATCGAAACATAAACAATTTCCTACTTTTAAAGGCGACTTTCTTAATTTCGCTGATATTAGTGGCGGTAGTCCTGCATATTGGACTGGCTTTTATACGTCTAGACCATTTACTAAGATACTATTGAGACGGTTGCACTCAACACTGCGTACTACAGAAATATTATTTTCTTTTGCTTTGAATCTTAACGTATTTCGCCGCTCCAACATTTCTCAAATATATGAACTCTTAATAAAAACAAGAGAAACAGTCGCACGTCTTGTTGACCGCAATGTCCTAAGCGGAACAGTGTCAGCAAACGCATTGAAGTATGTTCATAGTCAAATATTAAATACAGCCAGGGACTGCTGGTACATCCAGGAAATTTCCGCTAGTTTCTTAAGTTTGAAGCCAGAGAAACACGTGGCCTATTTACAAAAATATGTTTACAGAAATGGTGAATTCACGTCCGTATTAAGGACAGTTTCGCCTGGAGATCAAGTTTATATTTTTAACTCCTTAAGTCATGAGCGAACCGAAATTGTAGAACTCACAACAAGATATCCAAACATAAGAATCGTGGACCACAATAAAAGAGACGTGACAGTTCAAATAAACCCAGTATGGACTTATACTTCGGAAAATCTCATTAAATTATCAAGAATGTTCTACAAGATTGTTTTTGCTGTAATGATGCCTCCGTTAACACTTGAACTTTTTAAAATTAAGGATACATACGATGCTTCACAGAATGCTGCTACTATATATTGTTTATCATGCCATGTTGACGATGTAATCAATAACGGGACTGTATATCCATTTACCATTCAACCAATACAGTCAGGTGACATACAACTTGAGAGTTATAAACACAGACTTCTGTTCGACGAATTTACTGGCTTCTTGAAAACAGTAATCGAGAAAGAAACAAATATTGAGAAAAACGTTATAATTGATTACGGCGCGTTTAGAGATTCTGATTTTAATTCTGGAATGTTTTTATTTAACACAAATACTACGAAACCTCTGCACGACATTCTAGGAGAATACAGATCGGGAAACAAAAAGAAAATTTTATTGATTGTTTCAGGACTAGTCACTACGGAAATAACTAGTATTTATGGACGATTATTACAACACACAACAAAAATATTTAATCTCCTTAGAAGCCCTTTGTCAGGTGCTATTTATATGGAAAGCAAAGTAGATTATGAAGTGTCACCTAAGTACAGAGAATTAGAACTCTTTCTTTCAATACAGACAGACATCAATAACGGTAATCCTCCAGAGATCTTTACAGACAACAATGGCTTCCAGTACACTTCGCGAATTTTAAATATCAGCCGTCGCATTGAGTCTAACATGTACCCAATAACAAGTATGGCATTTATACAAGATAGAAAAACTAGACTTACTTTCATAACAGACCATGCTCAAGGTGTCACTGCTCTACAAGAGGGCCAAATGCTGTTCATGCTCGATAGACGAGTCCTTTATAATGACGGTCGAGGCACTCATGAAGGACTAGCAGATAGTACTACTACGTGCCATAGAAATTATATATTGATGGAAAATCTTATGGATTCATCAAACCCATTTAATCGACTATCACACAAACAGGAATTGAAACTGCCCAGTCTAACTGCATTACATCTATCCAACGCTCTTGATTACCTTCTGGATATATTCCTTATCGAAAAAAATCATACTGAACTTTGTTACTATACTTTTCTACCCTTAGTCAAAACTTCTTTTCCGTGTGATGTTTCTCTTGTCAATTTCAGAGCAATTCTACACAGAAGTACGTTTCGGCACGCTACCCCCAACTCTGCGTTGATGACCCTACACCGGCAAAGCTTTTCCTGTCAAGTAGAGAACTCTGCAGAACTGCACTGTGGTGGCGATAGTCATATATTTCTTAAAAAGTTACTCCGTAATATAAAGAAAATAGATCAGATGAATCTCCCAGGAACAGATGAAGGGGTGCCAGTATTTGTATTAAGCCATACCAACTTTCCGCCGATGGAATTGACTACATTGAGGATACAATTTTAAATGAAACAATGTCGATTATACTTATGCACAAAAGTGTGTGTACTCATAGGATCGTACGTGGTACCTGGTACAGTTTGTCATCACGGAAACTAATCTGTCGCATGTCAGTCGGTGGGAAAGTAAACACTCAAAGCTGAGAACTGTGAACAACAACAAGACATAATATTTAGGCAGTTTGTCTTAGCTGATTCATTCCAAAATAATAATTGCAAATGTTGGTTAGAGGCAAAAGTGTGCGCCGCGCCGTGTGAAATGCGAAAAATAATTTACGGAACTAGTTCTTAATAGGTACTGAATTTTATTTATTAGATCGTTTACAATTGTACATAAACATTTCAATAAAATTTTATTTGTGTTATTATTTACCTATTATACCCAGACGTAGGTAGTATTTTGTTTACGTAACCTTTAAAAGAAAATAGTAAGTCCTACTGACCGTCCAGTTAAACGGATTCATAACATCAAGAACCCCGTTGCCATCTGGCAGAATGGCATGCAGGATACTTGACTCCTTGTAGAAAGATTGGCTGCAGGAAATTTTGCGTAAATGAGGAGTGGAAGAAGGGTAGGGTGGCCTTTGCTCTTCAGTGAGATGAACATGGTTGATAACAAATAATGATAGATGAATATTGATAATGAAGAGTTATCAATAAAAAGGCCGTATTGCACGAATATTACTATATTTAAAAATAGAATACGAAACTAGAATCAACGGTGAAGCCGGTACAAGTATTGAGTGGACATCGATCTAATGAATGTTTTACATATTATGCGCCAGATAGCAACCTCACGCACTTCGTTCGATACCAACAGATAATCTATCTATATAGGTACATATAATAAAACTATAGTAGTGTCAATTCTGTACATTGAAATAAAAAAAATAGTGAAATTTGAAACAGAGGTAGACTATATTAGTTTGCCAGTCACCCCCTGTCTGTTTATCCGTAAGTATCAATGTTGGTCAGGGATTTTTTTAAGTGGGGAAAATCATCGAATGTCTGAGTCCCTATCTACCAATCCATTATTGTCCTACATCAACCCGGAACCGTTGTAGCGGAAATATTTACCTTCAGGTTAAAATTATTCAACAGAGGCTTCGGTTCCTCGTACGCCTTCCAGAGGTCTGGCATCCTGTGGTCTAATGAAAGGAAAAGAATAACATCAAATTAAACCGACTACGTTGCGTCGAAACAAAAAGGAGGGTTTTGATTTTGGAATGATTCGACTGTCCGATGATTTCAGGCTTAGCTACTACTGTAAAGGGTCAATAATAATAATCTTACGGCGAGATAATAGCCAAATCTTGGCCCATCAAATATATAAAAAACATTAATAAATCGAAATAAGCTTCTTCTTTTTTGAAGTCGGATAAAAATGGTATTGTAATCGATATTTTTTAATATTACCGCGCTCTATTGGACCTCGTTCCTTCTACTGTACGTTCCGTTTTGCCCAATCAAATACAGTACCTAAATACATAATTCGTTTGACGGAATGACTTATCCCGTTATTCCCGTTATTAGTTAGTGGCGTTTAAAAAAGTAAAGGGTTAACTTTAACAAATTAAATAATGATTTGAATAAACTAGATTTGTCTAAAAATCAGCAAAAATAACTTAAGGGTTGATCGATAGGGCAGGGCTTAATAATTAATTGTGATTCATAACTACAATGTTAGAAATAATGTTTACCAGTCCAAATTAATTAAACGTTTAATAATAAATTTTACTTTTTCTGCCATCACGCGTTCCAATTTACGTAATACTCATTTCCGGTACTTAATTTTTTTTATTGTCTACTGCTTAGTGTTGCCAATGTCTAACACTGTCCCAGTTTTCATAATTTGAGTAAAAAATTTGTACGGTTATTTAAATTCGATGATTGATTATACAACTTCTAGGTATATTAAATGGCACGAAACTTTTTCGAACGATTTTATACAAAGTAGGCAATGTAAAAAGTAATGTGTAAAAAGTAACATTACAAAACTCCAAAACTCTAAATTAATCGAATTTTGGCATAAAAGTAGCAGTAGTAGGTACTATGTACAGTATTGGCTGAAGGACTATAAAGTAAAAAATTATTGAGTGGGTAATTGTTATAGCCGTCAAACTTTGACACATGGTGGCAGTTTGAGTTTGGTAAAGAATTCAATGAAATATAAGGAAATGCATGACATCGCATCACTATCGATAGAGTACACAATAGAAGTGAACTGGAAAGGCATATTATAGTATGTGTTTATAGACCTCCTAAGTATTTTACAAAACCTAAATATTTTTAGCTCAGTGTTGGAGGATGTACTGCGGAAAACGTGTTCCAATAGTAAGTGTACCATAGTATGTGGCGAATTTAATGTATACAAATAGTAATAATTTGTTAAGAATATTTAAATCTTTCGACTTGTCTAATGTTTTCCTTGAGCCCATCCGAGTAACATACATAGTACTTTCATGAATTTTGGTAACATTAGTGGGTATTTACAAAGTATGTCATGGCAACTTTGGTAGCCATAGACAAAGAACTTAGTACAGCCATGTCAAAACCTGTACAGATTAAAAATGTAATTTGGTTTTAATGATTTGTCTACTCCTCAAGTCCACTGGAGGGGCAAGGGGGGCAACGGGGTCGGGGAGCTGTCTTGTCTTGTTGCTGTCTTTCAATGCGTAACGTTGTTCGTTTTGTAGTAAAAGTGAAGAGACGGGTAACAAACATATTTTACTGCACATACGAATAAAAATGAGTTTTAGTGAAATATTAATGTGAAGTAGAGCGTGAAAAGACTTCCATAAACGATATGCAGTGGAATTTTAAGTCATAACACTGTTAGTAGATGTACTATGTCTTCGACAATGAGAATAAATAAATAGTTAACGAATTGATTGTCTCCTTGATATTTGTGGATTAGGCTAGGACGGGATTTGCCAGGATGGGCTTGCTTATTTCGAAGATCTGGAGCTTGTTCGGGAACGAGGGTAAGTTTGTTCAATCTCTATAATTCTGACGTGATAAGATAAAAAAAAAATAAAGATGTGTGATGTATTAGAAGACTCACAATTCAACGCTAGTGAGAAGTTTAGCTGATAAAGAGGCCTTTGTTCTTTAGTTCGACCCAATTTATTCGTAATGATGAATGAATGTGACTTGTTTTAAGATAGATATTTACGACAATATATTCCGTTTATTAGACTGTTGCAGGCAAAACTTGAATAATAAATATGTATTTGGGCGCTATGTAGCGTAGCGATGTTAATTAACAAAGATAACAATATTATTTACTTTATTTCTGAACATATTACATTTATGTACAGATTACCTTGCAAATATTTTGAACATAAGTACTATAGGAAATGTTTTAGTAAATAGGATATAATATTAATAGTACTATGGATAGCCATAGACTATATTATGTATCAGGTAAATATAACAAGAATAATTTATGAAGTATTTAATATCTAAGTAATATAAACAGGTTAATACCTGTGACTCCTCTGGTGTTGCGGGTGTCCCTGGGTGACGCTGATCGCTTACTAGCAGGGCTGCTTGTTTGCCTCTTATTCCATAAAAAAATATACTTCTAACTAGATGTTACACATGTGGTCAAACTAAAAGCACTTATTTCAATTAAATCATAATTTGGTGCTTTTGAAACATCAAGTGGTTCAAGGAAGTATGATCATGACATGATCCTATAAACTGGTAACCTCCTCACTGTCTCCAGACATAAATCACACCCTAAAATCACTCCAAAATGTGACAAAAATACCAACAAACATATTTGCACAATCAAGTACCTATGATATGAAAGATAAAGGAGTCTTAGGAAATATAAGGTAAAGTTCCGTAAGATTGGAAAAGGAGGATCCTCCGACCAGGCGAGGTGTTTGTGCCTGGTGGGCTTTCTGCCCAACAGTTGTTCATTGTGACTTCCTATCCATGTTAATTCCCATGTAAACTTTACATGTGTGATGTAGGATTTTAGTGACATCATAATCTGTTGATTTGTTTTCATCGATAGTCTATGTGTGTGGAATGTGCTGTCATTTGACATGTGTCACCACAGAGTAAAGATACTAAGCATAATTAATTTCATCTATACATATAATAAAATTGTAGAAAAGTGCTGTCTGTACATTGAAAATAAAATTAAAAAAAATAGCAGGGGCTATTGTTATGTTGATGTCGAACCCAAAAATGTAACTAACTTTTTTTTGTCTGTTTGTCTGTTTGTCTGTTCACGCTAATCTCAGAAACGGCTTATCCGAGTTGGATGCGGTTTTCACGAATATATTGTGGTTTGCTTCAGTTATGCTTTAGTGTTTGTTTCATGTCAATCGGTTCATAAATAAAAAAGTTACGTCAAATTAAAGAATCACGTCAAACACTATCTATCTATACATATAATAAAATTGTAGTGTATTTTCCGTTTAATTTTAAACGAATTCAGTTTCCAGTGAGCCTATGTTTCGCCATGACAATTAATAAAGCTCAAGGTCAGACTCTAAAAGTTGTGGGTATAGATCTAAGTATCAGCTGTTTTTCGCACGGTCAATTGTATGTGGCTCTGTCCCGTGTTAGCAATCCCAGCAGCCTGTATGCTTTCACCCCCGATGGCCATACGTCTAATATTGTATATAGAGAAGCATTACAGTAAAGTAGGTTTTTTAGCCACCCAAAATGACTGTGATTATGATCCAAATCTAAAATAAAAATAAGTATATATTTAAAAAAAAACGCTGCTCTTAGTCACTATTCTACGCGAACGAAGTCGCGGGCACAGCTAGTAAATAAATAAATACATTTAAGTACCTGCACCAACTGATTGCCATTAGAAGCAAGACATTATAACAAAAACAATTGAAGATACACATAAAAAAAACAACAATGCACTCATTAAAAAACAATCAGTAATATGAATACAAAACTGAAGAGTTTGTTTGAATGTGATAATGTCCAGAAAGACTAGTCTAACTTGAATAATTCTTTTGGTGGTTGGGAAGTGCATTTATTGAGGATGGCTATAGGCTTTAAAACATCACCCTATGACCAATAGGAGCCCAACAGTGGGTGAAACCACGTAGAAGTCGCTAGTTATAAGAATGTAATATAAACATTATTAACAAATTGCAATTATGTAAGTAGCAACGATTATTTTGTAACAATACATATGTTACATCATAACAAGTTTGTTAAAGAAGGTAATAGAGATCTGGTAAAAGTGTGGGCTGCATTTGAATTTAAAGTAATTGATAGTAATAGTCCTCAAGTAATCGATTTTTTTCTTTAAATACCCATTTATTCTCAATACCAACCACCTAGTATTAGAACTGGAACTAGAAGTAAAGCCTATGAAGATAAGCCAATATTCAAGTATGTAGTAGTACTGTTTAAAAAAAACATGAAAAAAAAACACATAACAATCATATTTTAGAACTTTACGAGTGTGAGTAAAGTACACTTGTACTTCACTCATATTTTATTTGTCTTCATCTCTCTGCAGAACACAAGCTGGTCCTCGTTGGGTTAGACAATGCTGGTAAGACGACGATACTGTACCAGTTGCTTTTGGGCGAAGCTGTCCACACCAGGCCCACTATTGGCTCCAATGTAGAGGAGGTCGTCTGGAGGAACCTACGTTTCGTTATGTGGGACCTCGGCGGACAACAGAGCTTGAGATCAGCATGGACTACATATTACACTAATAGCGAGGTAACTGATGAATTCTTAATTCTTTATTTATTTTTAACTTGATTGAAAACCATTCAAAAACATAATTGATTAATTAAAATAAATATCTACATTTAGATGGAATTCATATAAAACTTCTATATTTATAGGTATATAGCAAACGCATTTTAAGTTCCTTGGTAAAAAATTATGTGGTTTAGTATCCATTCACCTGTATATTGAAACAGGTTAATTAATTTGTGTCCTATAATTACCTATATAAGTACCTAACTACAAATACAAATAGTCTGGCAATGAAACTGTCTGTACAAACAATATCTATTATTCAGTGTCTTGGTGCATTTCTACAATTCATGAGTAATTAAGATAAAAAAATAGTACCTACTTTTATTAATGTAATATTTTTTATAACTTGTAACAATATGTCATAGCTACGCAGTAATAAATATTAGGTATATTTATCTCTTATGAGCTTGCGTAAATTACTAACTTTATACCTCAATCTCGGAAGAGAAAGCAGAGGTGTAGATGTATTCAAAACAATATTAAACAACCATGCCCATTTTTTGGCAGTTATGTTAAGGAAGTTCCAACCGACCTGTCCGGAAATTATTGGGGGATGCCGATGTTCAGCAGTGCATATCTTGTGGCTGGTAATAATAAATGGGGATGATATGAAGTTCCATGTAGGCCACAGACGAGTCTACTGCCATACCAGACTATTTCAAATTTCGTGATAGTACTGAGAATATCGCAGATCGAAAGTCCTAGTACCTTATTTAATAATACTTTACCGGATTTTAGGGATCAAATCCAAATTCCTTGTCAGACAGTACCGCTTGCGACAGTCGACTAACGAGTTCTATGACCCTTCCTTATAGGAAAAAGACTGAAATGACCAGTGCGTAGTTACCTCCTACTATAAATAAACAAACATAGTCGCGTTTATAGGTAGTATTAGTAAGAATGTCATCCATCCATACGTAAATAAAACTAGGTTCCTACTTATAATATAATTGTCATCCATAAATAAAACTACCTACTTAAATGTACGTTAAATGTATTGTTTGACGTAAAATCTCAAACGACACGCTGAGGTGGGTTGCAGTGTCATTGATATTTATGTGACATTCATTAAGGTACCGTTACACAAATGCTTATTTGAAGCACGAAAGCATGCTTCAAATTAAACACGTGTCACTTTGTAGCAGGTGTGTCGTAATGTTGCTCAAAATTAGCATGCTCATTTCGGACATGCTTTGCATTTTTGAGCATGTTCAATAGAGGTTGAACGCCTTGTAGCATGCTATTTTAGAGCATCCTTAAGTAGCCGCTAGAAGTCGGCCTTGTTCACCCAATTTTCCGTACGATACTTGTACGCTTTCACTTTCTGTGGATAATCGGATTACTTGTTTGTTAAAACAGTAATTTGTAACTGACAATGACCAATTTTCGAACATTTTTTAATTCTTAAGCGAGTTATCTACGAAATACTAGAACCAAGGTGCATATATACAATGTAACACTCAGTTTTCGCTAGTTATTTTAGTATTTAGTCCCATGCGATAGGGGTGTATCTATTATTATGCACAATATCAGACGGTTTTACTATGCTACGAGTATTATCGAAAAACTGAGACTTATGCCTCTGGCCATCAACTACCGAAGAGTCAGAGCGCAGCTATAGTTTTCATTATTGTGAAATACCAAAATCTTTAAAAGACTTACCTAGTTCTTAATACCATAGTGCCGTTATAACATTTGTCTGTACAATTTTCCTTCTATATATTTTCCTGTATCGTTTTAAAAGGTCGTGCCTTTACTATGACAACTTAAATGTTGTTATCATCACGTACACAAGACCATGTACAAATCATTTCTATTGTAATTGTTGCATTTATTTATAAATTAGTGATACGTTTTTAAATGTAGAAACTGTAATGACGACACTAATAAATATGTTTTGATTTGTTATACATAATATAGTATTACATCACGCATTTTATCCTAGGAAGGGCTAGGCAGAGGTGCACATTACGCCACTTAATGCCTCTGAATAAAGTAACACCCACTTTTTACTATTTATGTTATGAGTTCCATGTAATAGGGGGTGAGCCTATTGCCATACACCCCTTGTCCTGTAGTCGCACTCGCGACCACTCTGTCTATGAGGCAGTCACTTATACAGTACATATTATAGTTAAGTTCCAAAATAATTGCGAAGTTGTATCGTCTGAGTGTAGAAAAAGAGGCGATAATATTGTGACGAACACAGGTGACGAACTTGGGATAAGGACAAGAAAAAAAACAACTAAAGTAACAATAATATGTCTCTAATATAAATAACGTGCTATAAAAATATATTAGGAAATGTTCTTATCTATGGGTTTAATGGCTACAAGGCGAATGATAACTTTGAATGCATTGTTTGTAGCTAGTTAATATAAACTTGCGTGTAAACAGTATTTTTTTCCACAAAGTAAATGCTGTTGTTATCTCCAAGAAGCTAGCGAATTAACATCTCAAACCGACACCGTTATTCATATTTTTAACCTTGTTACAAAAAGACAGAGTTTAATTTCATTTGAAGAGTAATTTTACCAGTTATGTTGTACCTAATAAAATACACATTTTCTCGAGTAATGTTTTAATTGTAGTCTACAGAGGGTTTCGAAATCAATTGAGACTGAAACTTCGTGATTGGCGAACTAGAACGTACATTGTAACTTGAGGTCAACTATGATACTCGATAAATACTTGTAGGCTAATTGTTGCAATTGCCATTTGATTTGCTATTGCGTTGTAGGTTGATGATATAAATACGTTTATACATTCCAATACAACTGTTGCTAAGCGCAAAACTCTTGAAAGGCTAGATTTTTTAAGTTTATATTGCAAAAATGTGTACCTTAAACTTCCAAAGAAGGTAGATAATAAATGTGAAAGAACAATAATATCGGTCCGATCAGGCATAAATTAAGTTGCCTTAATCTACAACCACCATATAAAGGACATTTGTTTAAAGACCTCGATCAATTTGACATCAAGTATGAATGACAATTACTTATCAATGACTGCTATGCGCATAGTACTCGAGCCGTTTACCTACCGCAGTTGCAGTATCTTACATTTTTAATAGCCGAATTGCCTCGGTCGGTCGCTATAATGCCTCTTTATTAATGCCCCAATGACTCCACGATCAATGCACGCGACCGTCATTTGTTTTGCCCCAGCCATTGTTCATAGTAATTGCAATATACACTTCTTGCAATTGTTCGATATTAATTGCCATGTAAATAGAGCAGTTTATGCTAAATATGCTCAGCGATGTTTAGCATTTTGTTATTTTTATGATTACGTTCGAATATTTTATTATCTATTGACTGATGATTGGTTAATTTTGTCCACACGATAAGCTAAAAATAGGCTAAAAATGTTAGCAATACCAGAGTGTACTGTAAGCACACCTTTACCTATAAAGGTAGTAAAGGTAGGCCTTTACAAGGAGTAACATCATGGACTTGTCCTATTTATTCAAAGCTAACCCTTGATATCCGAAAATGACTCTTAGTAACAACACTAATATGCCATATTGCCATACCAATGTCAATTTACCTTAAATACTAACTATACTAATCAGATAACGTCCTACAATTACGATGATGACAATGTATTTTTCTCTATTTATTCAGTTCGTCATAATGGTTATTGATTCGACGGATCGTAACCGACTGAGCATCAGCCGTGATGAGCTGCACCAGATGTTGAAACACGAGGAGCTGAGCAGAGCCTGTCTTCTTGTGTATGCCAACAAACAGGTCAGTAACAGTATCATTTTTAAAAGCAGAACCCGAGTACCTCTTTTTTAACTTTTAACTCTTCTGGTGTCATGGGTCTCCATGGCCGGCACTAATTACTTACGATCAGGTAATCCGTCTGCTCGTTTGTTGGCCTAAAAAAGAAGAGATGATCGATTTCGGTTATTTCGGTCTATATCACAGAGATTAACCACTGTAGGAGATTTTATTATACTTGGTGTAAAACAACGCGTATTCAACTTGAGTTGACACCTATTTTATTTAAACAATCCTGCACTATTTCTTTCCTCTCCTAATAGTTGAATGGCAAGCCAATCATCGGGGACAGGTCAGACATAGGGAGTTTTGTAGATTTTGGGCCACCAATGGTAAAGACCCCTCATGTAGATGAGGCTGTCTCAGGCTGCTGACATTGAAAGGCAATTAAAAAAACATTATCTTTTTCACACGACTGCGTCAACCATACAGTTTCTCAATGGCCCGTTATCCGGAATAAGACCTCGATACAAGTTAAGAGCAAGGTCAGCTTCTTAACTCTCAAGGTTCTCTATAATTTCGAGAGATGATAGTGACTTAAAGAAAGCAAAATGGTGTTATAATAAGAATTAGTTTGCTGGCTACGTTCCTTGAAAATGTCCTGTTTAATGGGGTGTTTATTGAAGAAATCGATTTTAGAAACCTTAACAAATGTCATGTTATAATATTATGTTCATCCTTCTATTTGAAAATGTTTAACTTTATTGTATACCGACTTTTTAAGTGGGGGCAAGCATCCAATGGCTTCTCCCGCCTTGTGTTAGACGAGAGGGAGTATCAGACTCTTACTGACTAAAACCCACCCGGTCCCTACTGCTCTTCGAGGCGGAGCCCAGGCAACCCGGTACGCCTTCCGCGGCTCATTGTATAGCGACTTGCGGTCTAGATTATTAATCGTGTTACGACATACTATATACTGTATATACACCATAGAAGCCAATTAATTAAATGCATAAAATAATAACATAATCTTATCAAACCATGTAAAAAGGTTAGTAACAATAACTCTAATTCAGACCATGAGCGATATTATCGAAGTTATTTATATTATAACCTTCAAATCGGTATGCGGAATGTGAAAGTGCAGTTACTGCTTACATACATAATGACAGACATACACTGTATGCTACCGCGTTACCTAATGTAATTAATATAACAATTCTATTGAGATATTGCGTGCTAAAGACTAAGTTAGGTCACATCAAGGTCAATCACAAATAATACACTCAAATACTTATGTATTTCAAAATATGTATTTGTATTTAATTCATTAAAAATAAGACAAAAATGCTGCGGTAGCAAGCTGTTTTTGTATATGACGCATAAATATGCAGCTTGCATTTTGAACATCAGTTCTGTCTAATAGATATTACGCTTATTTAATGCAATTTCTTTTTATTTGAAATTAATTTTAATACAATATTTTACGTTGCCTTCTTAAATCACAATTAAAATCACGCTAAAAGTGCGTAACTTCTGGTAAGTACTCTTGAGCAAAACCAACCGTAGAAGGCGTACCATATGTCATACAAGCGGCACCTGTGTCAACCGCAATACGTCATCATTATTTTTAACCAAAATATACATTGCTCGTTCTATATCCTTGAACGCTTGTTTATTCTCTGAGATAAACAGAAGCAAAAACAACAGCTCATCAAGTTAACCAAATATTTCTTTAATAGAATTCCAACTCTACCATTGTATAATAAAGTCGAAATTATGTTAACGGAGGACAGTTTCGGATACCTTAATGTGCTAGGCTCTACAAGGCGGTCAGACTCGTTGAATGAAGTAAGCAAGCGACGATATATGTGAAAGTATGCCTCGGTAACTTTATAAAGTACGTGACTTTTTCAAAGGAAGGAAACTCGATATTTTTAAAGAGTATCGTATGTTGCCTTATGTCGAAGGTTTCTTTTTAGTTGGCAGAATAAGGAGATAATGTCGTCACCTTTAAGTCGTTAGTTCGATGTTTTTCGCTGCGATGTGCTATCAATACTACTGACACACCACAACGCCATAATTAGAACATGCTATACAAAAGAGGACGAGGATCAAAAAAACACGCAAGTCCTTTTTGGCGCGTACGAAGTCACTTGCAAAACTTATACCTATGTTTTAAAAATGTGCCAAATAAATGAATAACAAGGTCACCATGTATAATAACACCCGCAGGTCTTTCAAAGGCCCTTAAAAGATGAAAAAGCATTGATATAATGTCATTGAATATGGTTAAAAGTTATACAGCGGTGACCTAAATAATGTGAGATAAAGGACTGTTGCAAGATTGATGAATACGTTTATATGAGTCAGTGAGAGATAGGTTTTTGAGTATTCTTAATTATTACATAAATATACTGACAAGGTTTTTACGAAGGTTCCATCGTCAGATTATTGTATCTGAATTATGGGGAACTTTTGTTTTCCCGATAATCTTCTCGATCGCTTGCTTCATTTCTGAAGGTCGTGCCCCTGAAAGGCTTTCATTGCTCTCTGTGTTATTTCCCTCCATCTTGTCCTGTTTTCGGCTTCTCTCAGGGCATTCGTAACAGAGAGTACAGTGTAATGTAGTGTCCCGATAATATGAGACTGTATATTATTATCTAGACAGCAATTAAATAACAGCAAGATGCATAAACTACAGATTCGAATCCTGTGTCTTGCATATAAAAATTGTTGCTTAATTCTCTACAATTTGTGTGTTAAAAGCATCCACGGCATAAACCGTATCGTGTAGAAAGTCATAATTGTTAAACAAATAGGTTTCACCCGACTTCAGTTTATCAATACGAGGATCTAACAAAACAGTAAAAGGACAACATATAGCATACTAACAACACAGTTTGTATGTATTTGTCCATTAAGTTAGTAAGCGTATTGTTATATGATGCAAGTTAAAATAACGTAATCTCATTTGTAAGTCAAGTCAAGACGGACACAAACAGGTGAGATGGTGACGCATATGTGACGGTGTATTATGGTGACACCATGAATGTATCCGCAAAAACTTAAACAGTTGACCTGAATACTACCTCTACTTTTTCGACGTAATGACTTCAACTGACATTTTGTTATCCGTTAAGGTTGCGACATTGGGCTGCTTCTGTCGATCTTGGGTGATCCGTCTGCTGAAATTGTGATTTAAATCTGTCTAATATAACATAACATCACGCCTTTTAAACCCGAAGGGGTAGACAGAGGTGCACATTATGCCACTGTACAATGTAACACCCACTTTTCACTGTTTATGTTATGAGTCATACACAATTCCAGACTCCGTGCTACTACTGAGATTTTTTTTTAAAACCTTTTTTTTTTTAATTCTTTGCCCGACCCGGGAATCGAACCCGAGACTCCTTGCCCGGCAGTCGCACTTCCGACTACTCTGTCAACGAGGCAGTCAAATCTGTCTCTCGTTTTAAACTTTACAATTTATATAAGACTGCACGGTTGGTGCAATGGCTGGGCAACCAGCTGCCGTGCAGCGTGTCGCGGTTTCGATTCACTTTGTGACAACACTTTGTGTGATCCACAAATTGTTGTTTCGTATCTGGGTGTCATTATTTATGTGAACTTGTGTGTTTGTAAATGCCCACACGACATAGGAGAAGAACCTAATGTGGAGCAACGCTTATAAATATAAATAAGAAGTATATTCTGGAGAAAGGCTTGCTATCTGAAACTAAGCCACGGTACTAAACGTGAATGGTCTCTTAGATCTATTCAATATTAATACTGAAATACTAAATATAAAGGTAAACAGAACTGACTGTCTGACTAAGTTATGTTGTGTTCCCTTAAAAGTACAACGTTTAATTATGGGTACTCAGTCCCTAATTTTTTATACTTAATACACAGTTACTTTGTACCGACATGACAGACAGACCGTGCGATATTTGTTTATGATGTGACAAGGAAGTCGGTCATCACGCTAAATGGTCCCCCACTAGCGAGGTCGTAGCTTCATAGGGGACTTTAGCGACTAGCCTATTGCTACTGATGCAATTTGCAAATCAGAAAAGAGAGGGAAAACAAATCGTTTTCGTTTCAATTCAAAGGTATATGTTTACTTATGTGTATTAACTCTAATATTAGGGTTTGATTATCTCATATATCACTGATCGAGTAGTAATATCCGCAACTGCCCAGCAGACTTGTTCAGATCTCCTTTTCGCGCAAAGTACTATTTAGGGCTTGCGGCATTTCGGCAGAACAGAGCTACTGCACATTAGAATAGGATCCAGTGTATGGAAATTGTTTCGCCTGTTATTACATGGGATGCGCATGGGTACCACATTTATTATGTGCACATCCATCTGCACACCTGCCTATCCCTTTGGGGCTTAAGAGACGTGAGTTCTAGTGTGTATGTATGTCATGCACGTGTCTATCCTACTAATTTTGTAAAGGTAAAATTTTGTATGTTATTCAATCGAACAGACGAATAGAGGCGTTTAGAACTTGGCATAGGACCTCCGACCTACACATGGATCATGACTCTATTCTTTGCAGATGCAATGGTGACGTATAATTATTCATCTATAATAATCGTGTGATTCAGCCTTTGTTCATTATTCTTCTCTTGTCATAGACGCATTGATTTTTGCAGCGAAAAATGAAAACAACTATATTATAAGTTAAAACAGTTATTTGATTTCTCGAACGGTCCCAAAAGATTCAATTGTTCCTCGGTATTCGAAAATTTACAAAGGTTTAAATGTTAATACAGATTTTTTCTCAAATTCCAGGACGTGAAAGGCTCGATGACGGCGGCGGAGATATCTGAACAGTTGGACCTGACATCCATAAAGCAGCACCCCTGGCATATACAGGCGTGTTGCGCGCTCACTGGAGAAGGGTACGCCTCAATGCTTACATTAATCTATTTCATACATCGCACTCTAGTTGACCGTGGTCAATTTGAAATGACGAGTCCACAATACTGCGTTGCGACGTCGCACACCAATCTTTATTGGTGCAATGCATTGCGATTCATTACATACGACGCGCCAAAAGATGATGCGTCCATACGTTTTTCTTTATCCACATGCGGTATGTACGCAGTTTGTGAGTTGCTCGCAAACTGCTCGCGAGCTGCTCGCAAACAGCGTTCGACAGCGTACCTACTAAACGTACGCACATATCGACGTGTGAATACGCGCGAATGCTCACGCTTTTTTTAAATCTCTGAAATAATGGGTGCAATATAAGGTGACAATTACCTATAAAATGACCCATAGTTTAGTGCAACCTATTCATTCTGCGATGCGTTGTGTTGTCGTAAATGTTTGCGGTATATCATCGCAATGCAGTATTGTGGCTTGGTTATTACTTCCAATTCAAATATGCTTTAAACATCGCACCCTAGTTGGCCGTGGTCAGCTTGAACCACTCCTAGTCTATTTGCGTAGTGAGTCACTGACACTAAACGTATCAACTGATTGCTAGGTCGCTGTCCCTGGCAATGATATTGAAGCCATTTTCTTGAGTGGATTGTAGTGTAGGGGCCGGTAGCAACTGATTGTTCACTTATATTAACAACAACGGCTCGATATAGGGAAAATGCTGGTTGGTTTCGTTACATTGCCTTGATGTGGGTTGTTAAAAGGCAATAATGTTTAGTTAAAATTTAGGTAGGATATAGTTTTTTTATTCTCAGTAGTCACAAAGCACAGAAAAAATATTTAGCGCGGAATCTGAAACGGCGCAGGGTGGTGGTAGGGCAATATGCATACGTATTAATATTCTATGTAAATATCCGTTAAAATGCAAGAAGCTAATAATAGGAATTGGACTTAACTATTGATAAGTTTAATTTGCTTAATAGCAGGTAGTTAAACTATTCAGTTATAGTCAATAATAAGTTAAGGAAATAATTTAGTAAACCGGTTAACGACACTACACATACATTTTGCACCTTATAATGTGGCAATAAAGTTGAGGATCTATTAAAAAATTAGTTTCTAAATTATATGTACGGTAAACAGATATTTAGCCTTCATGAAGTCGGTCCAAACGTCGATGGAAGTAATTAAAACTGGCGTCCTAGATTTTACTTACCGTTTGAGCAACTATTTCGTGTACCCACATCTGAATAGCTTTAATTTTATGTTAATTGACAACACGTCTATAAGGAAAACTTAGTAAAACTGCAGGATAGACTGACGTTATATCTGGACCTAGATACATAAATTACGATGTTAGCTGTTCGATAGTCTTTAAATGAAATCAAAACCGCCCAAGTGTAAGTCTGTCACGAAGCGTTTCGTCAACGCCCTTCTCTATAAAATGGCACAAAATCGCCCGTTGTATGGTAGGCCCCTTAAATATTTACTATATGGAGTTTCTTGCTCGTTCTTCTCCATAGGAGTCTACAAAAAAATGAACAAATAGGTTCACTTTTAAATTTTTTGCTGACGTTCAAATATGCCTTGCCTGGTCTAATTGAAATAAATGATTTTGATTTCTTTGACTTTGTATTTTGTTCTAAAAATATCTAACTATCGTTTTTAAAATACAGCAAGGTGGCAGACAGATAATTAAATTAAATGTGACACTTTTGGGAATGGAAACTTGAAATGAAAATAATTATAACTTGGCCAATCAAGATATTTTAGGTAGATAGCAGTAGTTTATTCTGGTCTTTTAAGTTTACATGTGTAAGTGATACGGTTTGTATAATGAATACTAAAAGTTATGCCTTTTAGTTTTAATATCGAACCAAGTAAGTAAATTGTCGTTACTTATATTCTCATAATTATACTAACTCCTTTTTTGGCAATGTGAACTGTTTAGTTAGGTCTGGGAAGTAGCTTTAATATTTTTTGTTGTTAAATTCGAACTACTTCTAATATTAATTTTATGTAATCAATAACCTTTTTATGATAGCTACAAATCCATGTAAATAAAATCTTTAAAGATAATAATGTATGACCTTTATACGCTTTGACGACTTTTTTAAAATAACAGAAAACATCTGGGGTTCATAACCCATTCTTTGAGAGCATATTGGTCTAAAATTAATACGCAAAATAAAATATTCAAACCTTTTATAACGAATAAGACAAGGATATCAGACTATAGACTAAATTCTCAAATATGCATATAGTAATTTTATAGTAGATAGTTTTTCCACAAACTAAATTGTACATTTAAAACATAGCATCACGCCTTTTATCTCCGAAGGTGTCCACCCACTTTTCAATATTTATGTTATGAGTCTCATGTAATAGGGGGTGAGCCTATTACCATATACCGGGCACAATTCCAGTTTGTACATTTAATATAATATGTAATATAAAGTTTATGAGGGTGTTTGTCGTTCACCTGAAACTACTGGAAATATGGAAGCTAGTTGGCAATAATTTAACAAAAACGCTGTTCTTTAAAGTAATCGTGTGTGCGTCTTTATCGAAATCGAAAAGGCTAGAAATGTAAGGACATAAATAAAAAAAGCGGACCTGTTCTTATTTCCACTAAGGGACTGCTAGCCAAAGATATCGTGTCGCCTATACTTGAATCAAAATATTTCTATTTCTCTTATTAAATCTGTAGATTATTGTAGTGTTCATACTTAGTTATCACAAATGTCTTATCAACATTATCAATGTAATATATAGCTATACATATATTGCGTATTTATGTAAATATCACATTCGTCTTATTCGCTTTATCTTCTAAATTGTTTGCCCTTTTTATATTATTTTTTGCTTCTTCGTTTTTTTATCCTAAATGTTTTTTGTTTTTGTGCAAAACGTAGAATCGCGACACTGAACGCTTTTCAGCCGCATAAATGAGTTTGTTTAAAGGTGTTTTTGACAAGAAGACTTAATTTTGGGGTGTGAGCGTTCGTTCGCACAATACTGGGCAGTATTGGGTGAATGAATTATCACTTTGTGAGGGATTGTTCACCTATGCCCAAATACTGAAACGTTACTCAATTTTAAGTCACGCTTAAGTATAGTTCTGTCACCACTAATATTTGTGAAATGACAGAGATGGCACGATATTTAAGCACGACTTACATTTGAGTAACGTTTCAGTATTCCGGCACTAATCTCTTAGTCGCTCGTTGTTGACAACTCAATTGAATTTCATAGCATCTTTGTCAAAAATACCTACCACAAAACTATATTATGATACTTTTTTCTCTTCTTGACACAGATATTCAGCAAATCTCAATACTTAATTACACTTTACTCACCTACATTTTGTTTTCATTTCAAATATGAGTGCACTCGTCTTGTATAAACACTCAAATCTAGTGCCTTTGTGCTGTCTTCAACTCTTTAAGTACAACGGTTTATTAATCTTACATTTTTTTATCTTCATCTATTAGATTGTCTAGTTTTACCGATATTACTATTTAATTAACAATAAGATCTATCGTTTTACGTACATTAGTATAATAGAGATTTGGTGAATATTATATTGTGGTAAGAAGTATACGCTTTGCCCTAGAACCCTAATGTTTTGTGAATGAAATGAATGTTTGAAGAGAAAACAATTGTAGCTGTGATACGCGAATCACATTTTAAGTAAGTATTATTTTGAATATTTTTATTTTGTCCTTTTTTGTTTGGTTGTATATTTATTTTATGATGTAGTGCTTTTATAATTATTTGTTAGTATTATATGTTGATGTCACCGTTTTTGATGTTGTGTTGATTTGTTCTATAAATTACGGTTAATATTTCCAGGTTAGTCACTAGCTGTGCTGCCTAAGTGAAGTCTCAAGACGGAAGACGATTCGGATGGGAGGACTTTTTAATATATCGGTGTGTAGTCGTAGATTTTACTCTTTTTAAGGTACCAGTTAAAATCATTCAAAGTGGTAGTAGATATTTGTAACGTCTCATATATTTTGTACTCTGACGTAAATATAATCATATACGTATTCGATATAAATAAGGTTTAATTGATTACCTATTACACATAATGCAGTTGTTATACCATTTACAATACGTTAAATACTTATAAATCGTAGCAATTACTTTAGTAATAATAATATGTATTAAGTACGCAAATTGTATTTCTTAGATTTTGTCATAAATAGCAAGTCGTCTGTGAATCTGCAAGAAATGTTTTCATAGGCCTTAGTACTCGTTTGTTTACGTTTAACAAACTCTTACTAAGGCCTCTCTGGCCTTAGTATTTGAAACGAGTACGCGTTAGCCGGTTCTGATTGGCCAGCTCCAATGAACCATCCAATCAGAGTGCCTAACGCATTTTCGTTTCGATTATTTTGAACGTATAACAAACTCGTACTAATGTGTCTGATCAATGGCTGCTAACCAAATGTAACATGAAATAGTGTTATTTGACAAAATATGAAATATTAAGACCATTCTGTTAATGAATTATAACAACACAGTATCTTTCTAGTTCAGAGATAGACAGATGACTTACTATTCATATTGCTATTAGGAACTTTTCTATTTTTCTACAACGGAGACCATATTTCAATACATAATAATAATAATGATCGAATAAAATTAATCATGAATTAAAATGTAATACGGATGATATCGCCAGTCAAATTCGTGTTATTAAATTGTAAGTTTTAAAGATCTTGTGTAAGAATCAAAGGAAAAATTAATACTGCAACAATTAAATTTCTTAAGACATTGTTGATTCTTAAAGTCTATAACGATATAAGTAGGGTAAGATATAGGTATTTATTTATCAAACGCACTGCCAACTATTTCTAAAACATTTGCTTTATCGTAATAAGTATTTAGAAGCTACATATTAATTGTATAGCAGTATTTAGAAGAGATAACTTAAAGTTGATGTGTGTGTAAAATTAAATATTGCATTTTACTTACATACATCCCATATTAGCTATAGGATCTCACC